TATCAATAAGAGAAACTCTAAATATATAGAGCACCCCTTAAAACATAGACCTAGAAGCATAGCATCCAATCAATGTTTCACCTTGATCACCTATAACTATAACCATATCCTTCCTTGAAATATGACTTCAACAATAGCTTTCTCACTATTTGAAGAAATGAAAGAAAGATTTTGCAAAACCATCAGGACTGCAACTTGAAGGCATATTTATAGTTTTGTTTTAATAAGGTTAAATATACATGGATCTACTGGGTAAAGATCAAGTTCCAAATTTGTTTTGGGTATTCATACTAATAACATGATTTGTTTTCTGTCAAAACCATTTTCCCCCAAAAGAAATGCATTAAAAAATGTTTCTACTTGTTGCTACTTTGGAGACAATAAAAAGAGATCATAACATACTTGATTCCAAGATCAATATGCTCCTGAATGCCAAAGCCGAAGCAGCCAGTATCACTGAAGTTCCTCCTAAGCAACTCATACTCCTTCACTTTCAACCCACTTTCTAGAAGCTGCATTGCCTTTTCGCCCCTTACAGTAACATAGCATGCAATCTTCTCATTTCTTCTGATACCAAATGAACGAACAGTGTACCTCGCTATTAACCAAAAATCAAACATAAAAATTACAAAGCAGTCCAGATAAAAACTAACAAAAATATATAAGCATAATCAATCGGAATAATTTATAACTCGTATATCATAAAACAGAAATAAGTAGAATTAGGAAAAATAGTCTACCATGGCCAAATGTAGTAAAGCTTTCGGGTGATTGACCAATAAAACTACTCTGTATTAATAATTTTTTATTGCCTAATCTACTAGTAAATTTATGAACCTATGGTCTAATGCGACCTCATCCCAATAGGCCATTCTTAATACCGACTTAAAGGTCTTACATCCCCATTTTTGATCGGAAAACACTGCCAATTTTAGAAAATGTTAAGACCCACATCCTACTGTTGTTTCCCTGGTGTGATAACCTTTCCACAACTATTGTAGCTTCTATCGTCTGAGTAATGAATTAGATGGGATAGTAAGAGAAATAATCCAATTAATAGTTGTGAAGGACATAAGATGTCTTGGATACAGAATCATGAAAGCCTCAAAGGGCTCAGGAGCTTATTTAACTAGGATAAGATTATATTGATAGCTGAATATTATTTAATGAATAATGAGGAGTAAAGGAAAAAGGCAAAAGATTAAATCCTTTTCCAAAAGAAAATAATAAGTCTAGTTACTTTTACATGTTAGTAAGATTTGTTTGATACTTTCAAAAGTGTCATTCGGTATGTAGTTTGCTACTGCTCAATCTTTACTGAGGTCCTATAGAGCCATATAATACAATAACTTGTTAAAAACTCTATAGGTATTCCATCAACAGTGTTGCGACAGAATCATATTTTTAACTCCGCACAGGTGACTCACTGTAATTAACGAATAATAAAGCAATCATTTCTTCTAATTCATACAAAATAGATAACATTATTGACATGGATTCAGTATGTCTAACTAGCAAGAATTGTATAGTTTAGTGAACTAAACTAAAAACAAATACCTTCAAGACTAAAATATCATTCCAAAACGAAACACTCCGTAAAATTCCGCATTTTTTAGAAACTTACACTTTTTTCACATTGATTCGAACCAATATCTAACCAAAACTAATTTGTACACCAGAAACTACTGAACTTCTAGATTTGACACGATTATCTCTATTCTCCCGAATTTTCTTAGTATCCAAAGAAAGCGAGGAATTACCTTTCGAAAAAACAGGACTCTGGCCACTAAGTTGCTCCAACACCTAAAAGGAGGAAAAAAGAAGACTGAAAAACACGACGGTGGGATTGAAGTTGTGAAGGGAAAATAACGCAAGTAGTACTGCAATACCTTGGCGGCTCTGGTAAGACGATCTCCACTTTCACCAACGGAGATGTTGAGAACGAGCTTTTGGACTTTGATCTCTCTCATTGGGTTTGAGAGTTTCTTCTCTGAAGCCTGCATTGATATCACTCATTTTCAATCAGTCTAAAGAAACACGTAATAAATCTACCAGAAGAATCTAACTGAATGAAAATAGAGAAAGTAGAGAAGACAAGCACCATTGCGATCGGTTTGATGCTGCTCCAGCCGCAGAGTGAAATGGGAGGGAGAAGAACAACTGGTCAGGAAACCCTAATAATCTAAATAAGTGCTAGGTTTCTTCTGATAACCTTTAGCTCTAGTTTAGGGTTACTTCTGGTAGCCGAGAATCAATGGACTCGACCTGAGTGGAGTGGGTCAAGGCCTGGCCTGTGTTGGGCTTACTCTTGGTATGGGCCTGGTTCTGGGCCTACTATTCGGCCTGGTTCTGGGCCTATTCTTGGGCCTGGTCCTAAGTATGTACAGGTTATTGGGCCTGGGCCTGGGCCTATTCTTGGGCCTGGTCCTAAGTATGTACCTGTTATTGGACCTGGGCCTGGGCCTATTCTTGGGCCTGGTCCTGAGTATGCGCCTGCTATTGGGCCTGGACCTGAGCCTGGCTTAGGTTTTATGACGCCAGATACGACCTTTATTAGTCTCGACTCTCGCCGCCCTATAGTAGACCTGAGGGGTAAATCCGTAATATGTCTGGAAAGCGCTGTCCGAATTCTACGACGTGGACGGCGTACTTAATTAGGCCATCTGCACGCATTTCAAGACTTTCAGTTGTAACAAATTGACTGTCTATTCGGCCATCTCGCTTTTAAGAACAACTCTACCTCGGCTTCAACCTCTTCATTTTTTCATTCTGAAGTTTGACTCGGAACTGTTCCATAACAATTCCGAGTGAAGAGAGAGAACTTTGGCTATGGCGATTGTTCGAAACGTGTTAGCTGGGAGGATCATGGCAAGCAGGCCGAGCTCCATGCTGATTGCAGCAAGATCCATGTCCTCTTGGTGGCAGAGCGTCGAGCCCGCCGCCAAGGACCCCATTCTTGGTGTTACGGAAGCTTACCTTGCTGATCCTTCTCCCAGTAAGGTCAATGTGGGAGTGGTGAGTTTCTCTTCTGAGTTTTTGATTTATAGTTTCTGCTATGATCTCTGTTTCGTTTCTGAGAAAAATGATCCGACAGAATGTATACTCGGTTTGTGTATCTGGACGGATCATAATTTTGGTTTTGAGACTCCTCTTTTTCATGTTTTGAGGAGACGTGTTGAACCTGCTTTCTTTTCGTTTATCAGCGGATTTTTCTATGCTGGCTTGGTTTTGCTCCTGCTTTTGATCTGTTAGTAAAACTGAAATTCATATCTAACGTTCCGGATTTTCCTTCTTTACTTACCAAGTTAAAATAAAAGTGTCCCTCAATATTGAGACACTTTCCTTTTCCTTTGTCAGTTCATTGCATCTTTTTTTTTTTTTTGAGAAAACATTGAATATTTATTTGTTTAATATACACAGTTACATCTTACAATCTATGTATATCAAGAATAAGTTCTAATCGGATAGAATTAACAATAAAAGAGAAGTATTTGCGTATCTGACAAACAAATGTCTTTGCAAATGAGAAAGAACGGTGTATAGTTGCTGGCTGACTATTTACTTCTCTTCTAATTGAATAACTAGGGCGCCTACCGCGATGACAATGGGAAACCCGTCGTTCTAGAATGCGTAAGAGAAGCAGAGCGAAGGATTGCCGGAAATTTAAACATGTAAGAACTGAGTGGTTGTTGAATTTTTAGTCTAACTATTTGATTTAAGTGGTGAATCTTTACGTTCTTTTTCCTTCTTTTTACGTGTACCACTTGTACTCACAAATAGTGATGTTTGCGTAATATAATGTCCAATGGGATTTTGAAAGTTCAACTTTGCTGTCGGTCCCGTTAAGCTTTTTACCTTTCCACTAACTTATGTGATTCTTTTGTCATTTTCTTTACCCATAATGATTCTACTGTCTTGGTTACTTTCTTTACTGTTTGGTAGTTGCCTAAATCTCTGACCATTTCTCCTTGTTATCTTTATTTATTTATCTTCTACTTTTTAAAAAATATTTTGGATGACATTCAGCACCTTTTCACTAACTCGTTTGTTAATAGGAAATTACTAATGCATGAAAGCAGGTTCTCTTATGGTTTATGGTGTTTTTTTTTTCATTGGACCTGGGAAGACGGGTAACATTAGTTGAGAATGGCGAAAACTAAAATCAATTGGAAAAGGAAAGGGATGAAAGGAATGGAATTTCAAGTCTTATTGGAATAAAATTCTATCCAGAGACTTTAGGAGAAGGAATCTTGATTTTCTAGTAATTTTATGATTTTGTATTATGAATTTCCTGATGGCACCTACCATCTTATGGTAATCTACATAAGCTTTGAGTTCCATCTTGTGTCAACTACCACCTAGATGCTTAGAAGGAAAAGAAAAAAAAATAAATCATCTAGATAAACATGATTTAAGTCTGTAAAAATTCCTTTTTAATTTTCCTGCTGTATGTTTGATTTCAGTTCTGAGGTCAATCAAATCCTCAGTGAAACCTTTTTGTCAAGAGATATCTCCAATTCAAATGAAACTCTCAGCTGCTTGAATCACAATGCTCGACTTCTCTATGTTTGTGCACAGCAAAGTTCAAATGATATTTTTGTCTGTCTGTGAAGTACCAATATTATTTTAGTTTTTGAACTTTGTGCACAAATAGAACAACAATTTTATAACTTGTTATTGTCTGCACGACTGCATCTGTGCTTGGGAATAAAACTCTTTCTTTTTTCATGTTCATGTTCATGTTCTATACATGTGTCTTGTAATTTCTTCAAGCATGGCTACTTTCTGCTGCAGACAAAAAGCTTCCAGAACTTTTTCATTAACATTTTTTATGGTTTTTCCTAAAAGGGAGTACCTTCCTATGGGTGGGAGTCTGAAAATGGTGGAAGAAACACTGAAGCTAGCCTATGGGGAGAATTCTCATTTTATCAAAGACAAAAGGGTAGCTGCAATTCAATCTCTTTCCGGGACTGGTGCATGCCGAATTTTTGCAGACTTTCAAAAACGTTTTCGTCCTGATTCCCAGATCTACATACCAGTGCCAACCTGGGCCAAGTGAGTATTAATGTGATATTTTCTTCCAAGTGAATTTTTGCACACACACACACACACGATCTCTGTTTTTTTTTTCTCATTTCCTTTGTCAAGGAATAGATATAACTTTGTAGGGGAAAGCCTATTTTTCCCCTCACCCCTAACTTGTCTGCATGGGTTTCAACAGCCACCACAACATATGGAGAGATGCGCAGGTCCCTCAGAAGACTTTTCATTACTATCACCCTGCGACTAGGGGTTTGGACTTTGCAGCATTGATGGATGACATAAAGGTATTTAAGGCTTTTCCATAGGAATAAGCATCATATAGATCGATCATCTTAGCTTTCTCATTTTTTCTACTTCTATTCCTCTACCGTTATTTCTTTTATCTTTGTTCCTAAAGATGCTGAAAACTTGTTCTTACACATCAATATGGATATTCCCTTTAGAATGCCCCAAATGGTTCATTCTTTCTACTTCACGCCTGTGCTCATAATCCAACTGGAGTAGACCCTTCAGAGCAACAATGGAGAGAGATCTCCCAACTGTTCAAGGTGACTCCTCAAAAATATTTACTTCTTTCTCTTTTCGTCCGTCCTTCAGTTGCCAACAAAAAATGTTTCTATTTCCAGGTTAAAGGTCATTTTGCCTTCTTTGACATGGCATATCAAGGTTTTGCCAGTGGTGATCCAGAGAGAGATGCTAAGTCTATAAGGATTTTTCTTGAGGATGGCCATCTAATAGGAATTGCCCAATCATATGCCAAGAACATGGGACTCTATGGCCAGAGAGCAGGATGCCTCAGGTAAAGCTTTCATGGTTTAAATGCATGTTTTCTAACCTTTAGGCCTTGTTTTCACACTCCAGAAGATAAGATTAACTTTGTATGTTTCTTCAATTCGAGTACTTCTCTTCTTTAAACTTATCCATAGCATCTTTCTGCTGGGCATGTTTAGGTAGAAATCATTCTATAAATACAAATTGGAGGGGGCCAACGTGCATTGTCCCGTCAAATTCCGTGGGAGATGAAAACTATGAAATCGAGCCTTTTGACTATGAAATATTGCTTAAAAGAGCTAAGATAAGAACTTCCAGAAGATACATATTCATGGGATTGTCCGTCAAATTTCACTCCCACAGCTGAAATTTTCATTTCTCATGATTTAGGATAAAAACTCAAACTGTTATTGTATGAAGTCAAGAAGAAACACTCCCTGTATGAAGTCAAAAAAAAAAATTAGTACTCGATGATACTAATAGTAAATTATTTTTTTAAAAAAAAAAAAACTAAAAGCTAGACTTGCAGGTAGATATAAGATAGACAAGGAAATCAAGTGACGGGGATGTAAATTATCTTCCCAAAGACAAATAAGTTTAGGAGTATTGAGACAGTCTTTCTTGTTAATACGAAATTCTGTCTATCCCACATTGGTAGTGAGTTCTACTCGTTGGTATGCTAAGTTTAATTTGTTGAGAAATGAAGGAAGGTATCGCTTACTACAAATCTTATTTTTGCTCTTGTATCCCCTTTATTATTAAGTAGACTAAAAGAAAAAATGATTCTCTGGTTCTCTTTTTCCTGCGGAAATAAATTTGTGCAAAGCCCAAAGGTATAGTTCCTGCTTTCTGTTTCTTTTTGTCGTGGGGAAGGGGTTGGGAAGAGGCAGAATAGAAGCAGCAGATGGTCCACTTTTGCCCTACTTTGCCCTGCTTTCTTATTGAGGACCTTCCTTTTTTTACTGCAGTGTGCTGTGCGAAGATGAAAAGCAAGCCGTGGCAGTAAAAAGTCAGTTGCAGCAACTAGCCAGACCCATGTACAGCAATCCACCTGTTCATGGTGCACTCATAGTTTCAACCATCCTTGGAGATCCTGACTTGAAAAAATTATGGCTCAAGGAAGTGAAGGTAGTTACCATCACTTAGCTCGATTTTTATTATTTCGCTGATCCATAAATAGAATATTGTAGTGTTGCATACTGGATCCCCACTGTCTTGAGTAGCATCCATCTATTCTGAAAAATAGGGAAAAAAATTGGTTGGTTTTCTTATGGTTGTGAGTGGCTCCAGTTTTGGTTTCTTGGTTTATAAATTCAGTGTCCTTGAAGTTTCCAATTCCAAACTCTTTTTCTCAAGCTCTTCAAAAATCTTTTCCACCATTTTTTTAATACACGGGAAGGAAGCAGGGAACAACTAATTAAACATCTCCACTGACGGGTGAACTCCACTAAACTTTATCTTTGCCAACACTTTAACACTCTGTTAACTTGATAGAGCTTAGTGATTTTATACAAAAGCCCTCAATGGTAAGGGTATTCAAGTTCAAGATGATTCTTTTGATGATTGGACACATTTTGAAGTATGTAATGACAAATATTTTCTGGTTGGCTGCAACTCCATATAAAGGCAATTAAATGTTCTTTTTCAAGGATTGCTTTAATGAAAAGAAAAAAGGAAATTTGATTGGTTCCACATTTTCCTCACCAGGTCATGGCAGACCGTATTATTGGAATGCGAACAGCTTTACGAGAAAACCTTGAGAAATTGGGTTCACCAATGTCCTGGGAACACATCACCAATCAGGTAATATAATATAGCAAGTTCTTCGTAATCTGCATCTGTTCTAATATTAATCTCCTGAGTCCATTCTTTTGTCTCTATATCATAACACTCTGTGCTCGTTTGTGGTGGACAGATAGGCATGTTTTGTTACAGTGGGATGACACCTGAACAGGTCGATCGATTGACAAATGAGTATCATATCTATATGACTCGTAACGGTCGAATCAGGTAAAAAAAAGTTGTAATCATTTTCCTGTTCCATCCATCTGTTTTTGGAGACTTTTTGCTAATAGTTCAAAAAATCATGCAGTATGGCTGGTGTTACGACTGGTAACGTCGAGTATCTGGCAAATGCAATCCACGAGGTGACAAAGTCATCTTAAATTCCTCAATGGGGCCAGTTCGCAAAGGTGAATAGATTTTTGTTCACATGGATCTCTGATGGAAGAACTAATGAAAACGTTTTGTCTGTTATCATCTGCATTTTCTCTGTTAAGATTATTTCCTCTTTATTTTAGGGGATGTAAAATATCTTTCGGACACAATAAGGGAACCATAACCAATTTTGTTAAGATGTCCTTCAGTTCCCCCTTTTCTAGTTAGACAAACAGGTGGGGAGCAATATTTATGATAAACAAGGGATCTGTAGTTGGCATACCATCATTTTTTTGCAACGGCGAGTCAGCACTTGTCAGTAACTATTTTCTGTCCATTCGTGCCTATTTTTTGATTATTAATTGGAATGTATGTGTATTTACAAGTTCACTACAACATCAGACCACCACCTAAATTCCCTTTTTCTCTAAGAGGGAAAAGAAAAAGCATAGTAAAACTTCCTGCTAGTAGTTTGGGTTGACAGAACATCTGTCCAAGAGTATTGCCTGGTTTTAAGTCCCCTGAATGCGTAAGTATAGGCCGATGGATATGTTGTTTTCACCTAGATGAATGAGAAGTTGGTCGTATCTTGCTGGGCTGTGGTAATTGCAACTTATGAACAACTTGGTAACTGGTTCTCTTTTCTATTTAAACATAAGTTAAAATCCAGATCACCCTTGTGGAAGTTACTGGGACTAGCTGTCGGACCAATGCGAATGGTTTTGGTAACTGGTTATTTGAACATGAAGTTAAATGGTCCTAAAGCTGGCCTTGGTTTTGCATTTGGTTCTGAGCTCGGCCTCTTTTTTACACCGTGTGGGAATTCACCTCTAGAAGCCCTTCGAAAAGTATGGACCTTTCACCAGGCTGTGTCAGCCCATATAAAATTTACGGCCTCGAGCTATTATAGTTAGCTACCGCAACTATTTGTAGTTAGTATAATACAGGTAGCAGTTTAATACCAATTTATATAGTTGTACCGCTCTAGTGAAAGTACATGGTTAAATTCTATATCAGATAGGATGCTTGTCAAAATTGATTAAAATTAGGTAGATCGGTCATGTGCTAACTGGAAACTAGCGGCATAATCAGCAATAATACAAGATATGTATCTTACAGGGAAAAAAAAAAAAAAATTTGAATAAAATAAACGTAGTTAAAATTAAGTAGTTTAATAATTTAAAAACATAAAAGCAGAAATAAAAATACTATTTCAAAATAAAAACGGAATTCAAAAGTGTTTATTGTTTGTATTTGTACTTATTCTAATAATGCTAGTTTCATTTTTATTTCGAATTTTTAAATATATTTGTCTATTAAATATTTGAAAATAATTTATATTTTTTTATGTTGATAAGAAATGATATATTATTTGATGTTTAAAATTATTTTCAAGTTAAATAGTATGTTATCTGTCACAATGCATCTTAATTTTACAAGATTGATATCTTGCAGTTGTTATTAGGATATTGGGAATGTAAAATCGAAGCCCCTACAATAAAATATAATATGTTATTTCTATTTCTTATAAGATTATATTAGGCACGCAGAAATACTTCCTTCAAGCCCCGGATTTTGAGAGAGATACCATAATGTAATTTTCTGAAACTTTTTCATGGTAAAATTCACCCTATATTACATGCATAACATATTGAAATTCAATTGTAATTAAAAGTAGTAAACACCAAACCTGAAAAAGCATTGACATGCCCGAACGGACGAACCCTTTTTTTTTTTTTGTGTCATCGCTTTATTTGTTTCTATATGCCGAAAAAATCTAATTCAGATATATAACATTCTTTATAGAATTAAGAACTCCAGTTTTGTCGTATTTTCCATCCTGTCAGAAACGAAAGATGGAGTTAAAAAAAGCAAAAGGAAAACTGAGAAAGAAGATTAATATGGGGGCTCAGCTTTAACAGAAACCACCCCGAAATTACTCTTAAAACTTTATTTTACTTCACAAACAATTGAAGACAAAATAAAAGAGGATAGCTCTTTAATGATTTCATACCAGCTTTATTATATAATCAAGGAGATTTTCCCCGTGTATCCACTTTTTTTTTGTGGGTTTGCAACTCCTGCACGAACCAGCTTTCAATATGTGAAAGAAGATGCCATTAAAAAGCTTACAAGATATCATATTTTGATATGCTTTCTCCTTACTCGATGAATATCCGTATTTCCTTCACATATTTCTTAAATTTCCAAAAAATAGAAAAGTTAGGAGGCAGCAATTGCCTAGTTTATGCATATTTGGTCGATAGAAAACAAGAGAGAGAACGAGAGAGAGAGAGAGAGAAAGAGAGAGAGAGAGAGTGATCTTGAATTGTGAATTTTAGATTTCGTCCATAGATTGCCACAACATAAGTACAAATGACACAAGGTTTAAGGGGGAAAAACAAACCAAATTACTTATGAGCCCCTTACATTCTACGGAACTTCTGCAGCTCCTTATCTAGCTAGACATTGATCATAGACCTCTTTATACTCCTAGCTTCCTGGAATCTTTACGATCGAAGCAATGTACAAAAGCAGCAGCAAAAATTTATGTTCAGGCAAAATGATAAAGGAGACGGAATCACCAACTTCTCCGTTAAGCTGAAACGCCACTTTATGTATATATCTTGGCAGGGCAAGAACAACCGCTGATCAGGCCACCCTGCTTGGTTATAATGACAGGAAATAAGTCATCTTTCCTTCAAATGCATCCAATAGCATTAGAGTTGATTCCTTGTCTCACATCTTTATAATTATATATATGTTAACCCGGATGGGGAAAGCCAAGCCCTGTCTGCCGCCTCACATGCTCTGGTATTAGCCTGTTGATTAGCTCTGGCGAAGCTCCAGCTAACTGTCAAATCAGTTTGGACAAATGGATTCATTTATAACCAGTAGGAGGAGACAAACTGAAAAGCTGGCAGACGTAAATCCAATTCTTAAGTCAAATTAGATTACCGCATAACAACTTATTGGATTAATCCAAGACACCTTATGGACCTTGTCAAGTGAAGGAATCCTCAGAAGATTATATGTTTACCATACCTATTCCAGAAGCATATAGAGAAGCATGTGAATTTTTACAGAAACATATTTTGCCCCTTTTACAGAAACATATTTTGCCCCTTTCTGGGTATTTGGGGAGAAAGCCAATATCACATGCTAACTTATGGAAGCAACCGGCAGTTATTAGTATTGATGTTAATGAATCTCTAGACCAATGGGACAGATTTCCTAGGTCAGGTTGAGGCTACTGTGTTGGTCAATGATGGGATGTGTCAACTACATTAATGTGAAAATGGGAATCCCTGTCATAAAAATGCTTTATATCAACAATGCACGTGCCTCATAGTATTCTGCCACAATGAAGAGTGTAAAAGTAGAACGCTCAGAGACATACTTCCTGTTTAAAGTTGAAAAGTGGGGGTAAAGGACGACCATTTGGAAGGCGAGCATTTGGCTCTCTTAGCTCATCAAAGAAAGGATGAGCACATGCTTCAAGCTGCAATAAGCAAAATAGAAGGGCAATCAGAATGAGATGCTGGAGTGGATATAGTGGTGACTCCAAACTGCATATACTGCTTTGTGTAAAACACTGAACATTTATTGGCAATGATAATAGAGTCTCTGTAAGTCCATTGTACTAACTGCAGTGCAGCGAAGACTAGGAGAATATTGAAGAAGCCGCGAAGCAAGGTCAATGGCTTCAGGAGGCATTCGTTTGTGGAAAACCTGGATCAAATAAATTACAAGAAATGTAACCACCAAGAACAAATGAGGAACTTCTATAATTTAGAATCTACTGTTTATTTTCTAAATTGGGTTATTTATCAAGTTTCATAACAATTCTCTCTTTAACGAATGAAACCCTCTCATAAAGTTTTGGAAGGTAGAAGCACCATCTCCATCTCTTATGTCATTCTTGGGAAACCAATCCATTAAGCAAATTCCATATTAAGAAGAATAATTATAATTGAACCATACCTTGTGCCAAGGATGAGCTTTTATCTGCGGAAATCTAAAATCTGTATAATTAGGATTCATGCATCGAATTTCTTCTCGAGTTGGAGTACCAAGAACCTATGGGAGGCAAGTAATGTGTGATTAGAAAGCTAATAGACTTACATCATCCACAAGAAATTAAGAAGCCCAGCGAGAACATTCACCTTAATAATCTCTACAAGTTGGTCCACCGCATTTTCTCCAGGAAACAATGGCTGTGAAAAAATTTTAAATAATAAAAAAAGACAGCATAATTTGAAAACGCGGAAAAAGCAAAATTACTATTAACAAAGGTGCTGGTAACTGTAGGGCATTAGTTGCCAACAAACTCACTAACCTGGCCAAGTAAAAGCTCTGCAAGGACACAACCAGCCGACCAAATATCAATTGATGTTGTGTATTCTGTAGCACCAAAAATGAGTTCTGGAGCTCGATAATAACGAGAACATATGTATGAGATGTTTGCTTCACCCCTGACCTGATGGCAAACCCCCACCAACAGAATCCCAAATTAAGTGTTAAAAACTAACATGCATAACGTCAAAATTCATTTACTTTGAAGATCAATTATTTACTTTCCAATTGGTCAACTTATTCGTGACAGCATTATGAAGAATCTCTTCTAAGAACTGATTATTTACTTCCTAAAAGTTAAACTTACTTAAGCCAAGATTCTACCCTCCACAGCATCCAAATCAACAATATATATATATATATATATATTGAGATAAAAATGAATGTATTATGTATATTTATATATATATATATATATATATATTAGAAGCATTCAGATGTTGCAAAAAAAATTTATGAGAGGGTTTCATTCGTTAAAGAGAGAATTGTTAAACTTAATAAATAACCCAATTTAGAAAATAAACAGTAGATTTAAATTATAGAAGTTCCTCATTTGTTCTAGATAAAAGAAAACTATAACATTAGGGCCGACTTCTGTTAATCTGGGTGACAAAAGCAACAACAACGAGATTAATAATTTAACCCGTATTAGAATAAATATACTCATTCTAATTCACATTTGCTAGAATTGCAATTTGTAATAGGATACACATACCAGTACTTTTGCACTTCCAAAATCGCAGAGCTTAACCTGGTGGGTAAGAGGATCAACCTAAAGAATGGACATTACATTAGGTAAGAAGTAAAGTCAACATTACTAGAAAATTAATTTCGATACTGGCTTACCAGAAGATTTTGGGGCTTCACATCTCTGTGACAAACCCCAGGGCCAGTATGGATATAAGCCAGCCCCCTGAAGATCTGAGGAAAATGTTTTCCATTTATTGCCTCGGACGAAAAGGTAAAGAGAAGTATAAAAATAAAGAAATTAGGGAACAAAAGCCCATACTTGGTATGTATAAAGTTTAACATAGATAAGGGGCATCCTCTGGTTCATATTGCTGTAGTGCTTCAGTACACGATACACAGTCTCAGGAACATACTCCATAACCAAATTCAGGAAAAGCTCATCTTTACTTGTCGTAGAGAAGAAACAATGCTTCAGTGAGATCACATTTGGGTGATCCATCAAGCGCATTAGCTGCAGCTCCCGATTCTTGTATCGTCTATCCTGCTGGACCTTCTTTATGGCCACTGTCTCTCCAGTTTCCAAGCATTTAGCCTGAAAATTGGTGCTTTAAGGCTCAAATAACAAAGGTGATAAGAAAGCAGTTAGCTATCATGTAACTAAGATATCCATACCTGGAAAACAATTCCGAAAGAACCCGTTCCAACAACTCGCTCAGCCATGTAGCTGATAGTCTGGATGCAGCATCCAGAGACGTGATTATTCATAAATGGAAGAATTTAGAAAATGAAAAAAAAAGAGCATTAAAATTATCACAAATTAAAGGTTCCAAGCTTCAAATAAAATTTATCATAATTCTTTCTTCTTTTACAATCAAAAACAAAAGAACTAGTAAATTATTTTAACAAAAATTGTGACTAACATTATATAAATTTTAAAGAAAACTGATCTTTCGACCGTCGGTGACATACACTTTATATAACTGATAGGAATTTGAAATACTAAAAGAAAGATTATATGAAAGGCCATGAGAATAAAACAAATATCCAGCCCTCACCCGTTTTGGTTCACCATTTTTGCCTCCAATGGTTGTAGAAATGATGTGACCGGTGACTGCATCATTCCCCTCAATGACAGTAGGAGACATTTCCTAGAATCATAGCAACAAATAGGATAAACAAAGTGCACAAACCAGAGACGTGATTGACATTTTTCCAAAGGTTATATCAAATACTGATCAATCGGATCTAGAAGCAACTTGTAATTGACAGTAGCCAGGAAATCCGAAAGACTCCATCTTAATTAAACAAATATTATTGGTCATATGAGAATGTGTAAAATGCTTTTCTAAATAAAATATACATTTTCAATTGAATTGTTCTAAGTATGTTGCCTCACATGCATCAAGGCATTCATCAAAACCTCCATTTAAGGAAACCACTATTTGTTTATATGTCTATTAGCTACCAGTCTCACCACCAAGGAATCATGAGACTCCATGGCAATGCCAATAAGAAAAGGAATCACAAAATGAGAGCTATCAATCAACAAATATGCAATAATTCCAACAGATCAACGAAGACACAGCACATGCACTGATGACTAACAATGTGAACACTCAATAAAGACTTAATAATCAAGTAACATAATAATCAAGTAAAACAAGCAAATGAAACCTCTGTAGGATCAAATTCTTTCCTGCAAATGCAAGAGTGAATATGGGCATAGCAAGAAGACGTGGAGAAGTATTTACAGGAAAAGTATATTCAATGACCACATAATACAGGAAAGCATCACATGCCAAAAAAAAAAAAGAAATCACAGGAAGGTGGCTGCCATAAGGGAATCAGAGGAAATCCAATGCCTGAAGCAACTAATGTCAAATTGAAGAACAATCCACCTGAAGGAACATAGAAATAATAAAAAGGGTTTGATAGAAACAACAATACTGCATAGAAGAGAAATAAGGCACCTGTGATAAATTCAAGTAAAGAAACTTCAAAAAAAGCTAGTGAAAAATATATGCAATTAGGAAACAATAAGTAATGAAATCTTTCAGTAGAGAAGCAAAGCTCTAAAAATAACTGTAGCAAAGCGTCGAAGAAGAAGAAATAAAGTGCAAAATACTAAAATCAGTGAAAGAAAACATGCAGAGGAATTTAACAGATGAATAGCAAAGAGCTGAAGTAACAACTAATGGAAAGCAAAAATTTTGCTCCAAGTATAAACAAAGAGATAACAAGAAACCCTGACGCTTTATTTGGTAGCTGAAAAAGATCCAATGACTATAAATTTTAATACGCAGGCACTGAAAAGCTAAGAGCAAATAAAATCCAGCTCAACACAGCTAAGTCTAACCACTATTTTCAATATATATAATATGCATGTTTACGCGTATATATATGGTACAAATGTAGAAAGAGACGGCAGAAACGCACTTCAGTCCCATTTCACTTCGTTTCAGCTTCTTAAATTTTCTCAGCAACCAAACATTAAGTTATCTACTAAAACAAAACCTGACCCGAAGATTAAGATCTCCACATCCACTAAAAGCAAAGGGAGAAAAAAAATTGAGACACAGCTGACAAATTAAATAGAGAAAAAAAAATAATAAAAACATCACACACAAAAAATAAAAATAATAATAAAAAGAGAGCTCAAAAACGAAAGGAAAACCTCATCGATCACAGAGCTTCGCCGGAGAAAAAATCCGGTGAGCTTGCTTTCAGAGTGTCAGCCAAGAGGTAAAGCACGGCAACACGTAGATCGCTTAAAATTCCAGTAGAAACAAAGAGAAAGAACTCGATCAAAGAAGATCCAACCGCCACCAAACTTATACACACACAAAGTACCACATACAGGCGCATATAAACATCTTTATACAGGTATGGAGAGAGAGAGAGAGAGAGAGAGAGAGAGAGAGAGAGACCTTCTCGGATTCCATATCTGAGCGGCGTTTCACAGAGTCATTGTCAGGAAGGAGGTGTTGCGGCTGCGGCTGCGGATGCGGATGCGGATGCGGCTGCGGCTGGTGCTGCTGTGGAGGTTGTTGATGCTCAGGCCCCAAGGGCATTGAGGCCATGTGCTTTACAGCTACTACTACTGCCTTCTCTCTCTCTTTCTGTGTCTCTCTCTCTATCTATCTGTTGGGTGTCCTTTCTTGTCAAAATTTTGGTTTGGAAATAGATAAAAGAGACAAAGAATAGACCCACGCGAGGCCCCCTGGGAGAGTGGCGTCACGCTCTTACGAGAATGGTTCATGTTCCAATCAAGTTGTCCTGTAAAACGGTGCGTTTCGAGTCTGTAACCAAGCGCATATGTCGGCTTTATTTATTTATTTCTGAAAATGTCTCAACTTAATGCTTCGCGGAATTTTTATCTTGTGTTAACACTTTATTATAATAGTACTAGAATTTCTAAAGATAATAATGAAGTTTTTAATTGCAATATATTTTTTAGTTTATTAGTATTTTCTCCATTGTAATTTTTTGTATTACATAAAAGTTATAATGTTAAAAATTAATTGTACATTATAGTTAATTAAAATTAAAATTTTATTTTTATATTTTAAAATTTTAAATGTATAATTATTAATGTTAATATTATTTTTAATTTTAGAATAAAAATATCATATAATATTTTCTGATACTACTTTTATATATATAATTAAATTTTAATTAGATAGTTAACAAAATTCTAGTTAGATAAATTAAATTTAGTAGCGTATTTAATCATTAGATTGTTAAAATTTGTAACATCTATAATTTTTAATTTAATTTTATTATGGTATTTTTTTTAGTGTAGTCTTTTTCTTTAAAATATATATATATATATATACCTTTGATCTCGTTTTATAATTTTCAATTAAAAAATTAATAAAATTGTGACACTTCAATTTTTATCTAATAATTATAATTTAAATCAAAATTTTAATTAGAAATATTTAATTTCATATTTAGTTTATTTTTATTTAAGCTTTTATTTTGTATAATACTTCAGTAGACAACTAATATTACTTTGTTATTAATGTATTTTCATTTTAAAAAAAAATTAATTAAAAATTTTATTAGAATTATTACACATCAAACTTTAATATGAAGTTAATACAATTGTGACGGGTGACCATTCTACTTGTTACTTTAATACTATATAATAAATATCATACCAAAAATGTAAAAGTCTATAACATTATACCCTCCTTTTATTTATATTTAAATAAATACTCGTGCTAGATTTTAATATAATAAAAAATTATAAGAAATAAGTAGAAGCTTTTACTCACACTTTCTCCCCATTCATTACTTCTTCACCCATTTTCGCTCTACATCTTATAAAATTAATTTTATTAGTTGTTAAAAATCGAGTAAGGACAAGTTTATCCGATAGCCCGATCCAAATCTATATCACCCCGGAAATTATAATTTTTAAGTAACAAAAAAAATTTAATCTAAATTTTTTTATTAAATTCAGTACTAACTAGAATTGTATGAATTCTACTAATAAAATTAGAAAAAAAGTAATTTAATATTGACTATCATATTCTTCAACAACTTAGGATGATTAAGATTTACTCATATACGAAGAATTGGATGCAAATCTTGTATTATAAAGTTCCGACAACATTGCTGTTAAGCGATTTTTCTGTGATTGGTTTGTTATGTTCTGGAGATTCTTTCAATATCTCTACATTATAGGTTTTGAAATTATTGCAGAGTTCAGATGGTGGAAACAAGAGACAGATCGGACAAGCAGAGAGGAAACATGAGAGGGAGGTATTTATAGGCAATAAAATAAGAAAATTGATATCTTAGACAGGAAAATGACCTGATATAATAGCATAAGAAATTGTTAATTCATCTATTGCCAGCACCTTCTATCTGTGGTACATATAAAGGAGGAAACTCAATATAATACAGAAATCAACAGTGGCTGGAGTCTCCCAATAGTAAATCAAGCATGTCATCGGGAGTTAGAAGAGTTGTTCCACCAAGAATCAATTCAATATCAGGCCTTCCAATTTCCGATAATGCTTCTTGGGCTTCGGATACCTGCCCGTTAAAAAAGACGAGTCACCTCCCTTTCTCAGTAGAAAAAAATTAAAATTGAAACCTGCGAGCTAAGACACACCAATGGTGGAGAATAGAGCTTTTATCTGTAATTAAGGTAACAAATCTTTGAAGTCTGTAACTAATAGTGTCAAACACTAGCACAAGTGTCATTTGACTGCAACATTGTCAAAAAATGCTGATATAGATCCCACATCACCAACTTGAATTCATCCAGTCTGACCCTTATATATCTATCTGACCCGTTTGAGACCCATTACTACCTAAAATAGTCAACCGACCCTATTGAACAATGTTCTTCATATCATCTACATTTCATCTGACATATAACTGAGTTGCTGACCAAATTGGCACAAACGGCTCGAAGTAGAACAAACCACGGGGAATATTAGAAGGGTCATCCAAGAAATTTTTACTGACATTTCAGGTCCAAGCACTCTTATAAAATCACAACGTCCTTGGAATTTTTAACATTGATCAAACCCCAAAAATAGCAAACTACAACAAGGCTTGAAAAATGAGACCATAACAACTGATTATAAAATCAGCTGACTAACGGCTGCCATAATTCCCTACCTAACAAAGTAATCAACAATAAAAGGTTGAAAAGAACATGAGGACAAGCATATTTTCTCTTCTAATTGAATTAAATGGAGCAAAATTTTCACTTGGAAAGGAGTAGAACCTTGTTTGAAATAAAGGAGTTAAAACAGAACTAATTTTTACTTGAAACCAAAACTACACTTTATTTCCTCTCCCCTTTTCTTTGCTCTTCTATATGCTTAAGTTTCTCTCTCTAGCTCTCCTTACCAATACCTATACAATTGGAAAAGAAAGGATCAACATCTCATTTTCGCAAAAGCTATCTTCAGAACAAATAAAAAATTCGTAAAATTCGTTTGTGCAGAATTGAAACAACATAATCGCCCAATTCCATTTAAAATTTCAAATGAAATCACTTTTATCACTTTAAAGAGAATTTGCCAATCTTCCAGTCGAACTATGTAGTTCCGAAAATCTTTTAGGTAAACTGTAGATATACAAATAAATTCCACACAATTTTTAATTTGCTCCAAAATAGCCCAAAACTACCTATATAGTGTGTGCATGCAACGTGCAGCCATAGTATAACTAGCAGTTCTTTGTGCTCCTATTTCCATTCTTTCCAGTCCAATTCAATTTTCAATATCATCCTGCACCCACTAAACCATGCACTAGATTCTCACACCATGCCCTATTTATTTTCTCTTTAGTCTTCTAGGTTTGAAAATGATTATGTGGAAGGATCCCTACACTGTCTTATAATGATGATTCCGCTCTATGTGGTGATGATATTAGCATAGGATTCTGTTCAGTGGTGGAAGATCTTTCTGAGGACCTATGCTTGAGAACCAACAAATTTATGATGATCTTTGTTGCCTCTATCGTTTCACTTTATCTCGACTAAGGATCCATGCAGCATGAACTTCAAATTTGTCACTGCTGATATGTTGTAGAACATCATCAAGTTGATCATGATGGGGTTGTGAACTAAATTTGCCAAGAATGGAGGACTAGAATGGATAATACCTATCCTTTTTCTCTCCATCTTGCCCAACACGTGCCGAGGCATTCTTCCCCTCCTCATTACCATGAGTGGCAAGTTCTCGAGCTCTCTCATGGCCCACATCATCATCCTCCAACATATCTAGTATATCCTTTCATGGATCGGTTTCTAGAGATCAATGCCTCCGCCATCCCTGCCTAAGTCGAAACCAGCATTGTCACCTTGGACAACCAAGACTTCATGGAGACAAACATGGAGATCGATGAGGATGGGAAGCTCCACGTGACGATTAGGAGAAGCAACACCTCTAGACTTAGGAGGCAAGTGGGTCTCAAAAAGTTCAGCAGGTATATATATGTCTATTGGGGTAACTTTAAGGTGGTGATGTGGCAGCCATGTTATCATATTTTGATGACATAGTGGTCACATGGCATTTATATTAGTATTTAATTGAATTAATTATGAAGATTAAATTAAAAATAAAGTGAAAAACTAAATCTTTAATTCTAAGATTTTAATAGTCAAAGGACTATTTGGAAAAAGTATCAGAAGTCAAGGACCAAAATGGAAATAAGCCAAAGATTAGATAACAGCTTGAAATTCACCAGAAGAGAGATAGAAGGAAAAAGGTTATGAATTCAAGAAAGTCAAACCTCAAGACCATTGATTCCTCCAATAACAAAAACAAGAATGACATTTTGGTCAGCGATACTTGGTTTTGCCTGCAGGATATGCAAAAGCAAAATACAGTTGTCAGACTGAAAAGCACGAAGTAGGATAAATATGAAATGTTGTGAGCTAAGAACTTACCTGCCCAAGGCCAAACCTCCCAAAACCACTTTTAAAAAGACGCCCTACAGTAGAAGAATGATATTCCAATCCAGGAATATCATGCTTGCTCAACACTCTTGCTAGAAGCCTATAAAGTAATCCCTTGGTTACATATGGATCACCAAGGAAGTTGTTTTCAGAAGCCAACGCCCCCTCCTTTAATGGAATATTTTTTCTCCTCAAACCCGATAGCTTGTGCATGAATTTGAAAAGATTGTCTACTCTATCACGCAGTTCCAACTTTAGTTGTACATCATCATATGCCCGGTCTTTATTATCACTATTACCACTATCTTCATCTTCCCTACCCCACTTGCCCCACTGATCATCATCAAAGTCATCAATTTCTAAGTGATCTGGAGATGTTTCTTTGGTTTCCCCTGATTTGGCCCTATCTAAATTGGCCTCGAGTTCTTCTGAAAGACCATGGAGAACTTCAATTTTGATACAGAAGGTTTTCAGGATTGCATCCATAATAGCTTCTTTCAGAATCGCTCCTCTTG